ATTGTAGCAAAGTCTTCCGGTTGACTGTTAGTACATACCATTTGAAAAAAAAAACCAGTATAAAAATAATCGATTTTCAAGTAAAAAGAAAGATGGTAGGGATAGTCAGGTTGGAATTGAACTCCCGTTATCCCAATTTTCGTCTCATAAGACTTCCGTCTGTAAAAAAAACATTTCTTTAGCAGAATGTCCAGTAGCATAGACGTCACTAGTCTTCGTTCTAATCCAAATACTACCAAATTCTAAATCTCAAGTTAAGAAATTACAAGAACAACACAACTACGTTTCTAATTATATTATAAGATCAGACAAATCAAATTAAATATCAGATAAAAAATTATTATGTAATTTATTAAAATAATTCATTGATTGAATAACCAATTTGGTTATAGAAGTCTCTACAATCAAAATGGCAATTATAGCATACATTTTTTTCTAGATGTATAGAATCAATTATCATGAGAAAAGGTCAAAGTCTAAGTTGACTTTGGAATTTTTTGTCGATCAAAAAAAGTTAAAAATTTTGGAATTAAAATTCCATTTAAATTTATAACGTATTCAACACGTTTTGAATTCATCTGACAATCACTACAACAAAATTGGATTTATAGGACGTCTTCAATCTCTAAGCGTTCTAATAGACTGTTTTATAGGAACAAAATATAAAGTGTCATATCTAAAAATGTTATAATAAGTTTATATGACGCTTTTGGACGTCTTAACAAGTTTTTTAGAACATTTTTAATACAAAGTGTCGAATTAGCAACTTTATATAAACTCAATTTTTTTATAGGACACTTGTTTTAATAGGACATTTTTTCAAATAGTGTTCTATAAAGTTGCTAATGGGACGATTTATATTAAAATTGTCCTAAAAAATTTATTACGATGTCAAAAAACGTCATATAACTTATTACAACGCATTTAGATGGGACACTTTGTTTTTTTGGTCCTATAAACCAAGTCCTATAAAGAGGTCTATTAGGATACTTAGAAATTAGAAGAGTCCTATTAACCCGATTTTGTTGTAGTAAATTATGCTAAAATAAATATAAATGAGATTTTAACCATTTTTTTGCTACAACAGATATGTTATCTTGTATGTTAAAATAAAGAAAAGTAGGAAATCTTCAAATTTAAATCTCCAAAACTACATATTTAAAAGAAAATTTAATATTTATTTTTTCTCACCAATAGGAGACATTGAATTAAATGCTTACGGAAAAAAAAATATTTATTAAGTATTGAATATTTTAATAATATAATTAGTGACACAATTGTTAAAATAAAGTAGCTCTTAGAGTTAGATGTAAATTTTTTAGAGATTTTAACTTTTATAACTTTATTTTAAAAAAATTATAATTATCTATATTACCTTATAAACCAGATTTATCAAAAGTCTTAAAAACAATTTTTAATGCACAAAGTTTTAAAAACAACTCATAATGCATTAAGTACTATTACTTTATACATTCAGTTTAAAAATATCTTAATCTATAATTAAAATAACATATACTACAAGTTGCCTCTATGTCTTTTCCCCATTCCCCAATGTGGGATTCAAACTGATATTCACCATTAGTAATTAAAAGTTCTCTCATTCAATTGCTTTAGAACTCTCGCTCTCGCTCTCGATATCTTGATTCTTTGCTTTTGGTGTAAATCGAACACATTTGTGGAGTCTTTTAAATATGTTGTATTTTAAATATATTGGATTTTAAATTGTCGTACAATTTTTTTCATCGATAGACTGTAATTGGAACCGTAACTCTTGTTTATTCAAATTGTATTAATATGTAAAGACTAAGTGTAACTTATATCCTCGTTAAATCTTCTCTAATAAAACCAGTGAAACTTCAAAATCGTTAAAATTCACGACTACGCTGCATTATGCGGATACACAACTAATCTTTATAAAAGCATCTCTAATAATTAATCTTAAAAAAGAATATTAAAAGTTAATTTTTTTTTTAAAAAGTAGATTTAACTCAAACAACTATTTTATTTTAACAATTTTAGAATTAATAGTATTATTAAAATATTTTACAAAATTCATCATCGTAACACAATTTTTTTTAAAATAAATTATAAAACATTTAACCTCCTTGATAAAAATCAATTAAAATATTTTTATTATTCTCTCCTCTATATTATTAATTTTTCTTTGTTTTAGCATACCTCTTGAATAAATAAATAAAACTCCAAAATCTCCACTTCAGTATAGATGTTGAAAATACTGATCTAAATCATCAAATTAGCAGTTATATATATAATCTTTACTGACCCATAAGAAATTCAAACCGACAATATACGGAATCAAGTTCTTTCATTAATTAAATGATTTTAACAAAACCGTGTACACAATTGAAAACCGTAAATTTAAAATAGAAATGGAAACTAAAAGAGTTGCATGGGGTCGACCTCAATTTCTTGTATGGTCCAAAGTCCAAACACTCAAGTGTTACGTGACTTTTTTGTGAACATCCCATGTTCCTTTTTCACAATAACTTGGTTTGGTTCACATTGCAAAACGTTTTACACAAACTACATTAAATCATCACTTAACATATTGGTACAATTATATATATATATACACACATATCGAGGTTCAAACGAGAATACCTTCATTTTACGAGAACACCCTTATCACATGTGATAATACGTGTGAGGGGACCATGTGATGTGCAGACGACGTGTTCCACGACTTACGCCGCGCCAAAGGTTGTTCGCGTCTATGATTTAGCATCATGTTTGTCCCTTAGCATGTTAAATGTAAGATTTTGAACAGGGTCTCCGAAAATTTGGGGCTCAAATTTACATGTGTTTAGGATCTTTTTATCGACCTATGTAAAACTATAGCCGAAATTATTTAGGTTCAAACCATTACTTATTTGGTTTTAGGTTCAAATCAGTATTGGCTTAGGTTTAGTTTCAGATTGTTAATCGTTTTAGGTTTAACCCATTTTTATTCTTGACATATATCACCTGTCATCTCATTTATGCAATGTAATCAAAAGTTTTGGATGTAGCAAGGCCTCCAAAAAGATTGGGACGTCCCTGTTTAACATCAAATGCGATGGTCCTAATGGATTATAGTATCATATCAACAACACCCTTATCACATATGATAATACTTGTGAGGGGGCTTAGTGGTGTAAGAACGTCTTGGCCCACAACCAAGATCGCATCGAAAATCGTCCGCATCTCTGATTTATTATCACATATGTATCATATATGATGAAATAATAGTATCACATGTGATTGTCTATAGTAAAATGATTATCTTTGGTTGGTCATATATTGATGTAAATGTTGAGAAAGATTACATATGGAATTGCTAAAAATAGGAATGTAAAACATGAATGAGACATGACAAATATATGTGTTGTGGTCTACATTCAAATGAAAACCTTTAACATATTTGTCCACTTTTGGTATTAATGCATCCATGATCTATTCTTTTATATGTTTGACTCTCACTTTTAAACATAAACGTTTTTTATTTGTTTTAAGTTGCCTTGAAACGGTCTTCAACCGATGGTGGTCCTCATTGTTTTGGACGTCATATCAGATATTCATAGTTTACTTTGATTTATATCGTTCTACATGTCCCACAACTTTATAATGACGGTTTATCTCTTGATTATTCCGTCACCTTTCACACTCCTTGTATATAATGATGAACCGCTTAGCTTTTTGTTTTCTAGAATAGTTTTCGGCCCAAATTTATAATTTTTTTCAATTACAGTCGTTATAGACTTGTGAAACGTCAAACTTATTTCTGTGTCAGTATTGTTTGAATTTACGTATATTTTTTAATATTAAATAAAAGGTCTAAACTAGCGACCGACCTGATATTTATGTCAAGCAGGTACATCTTTAAGGTGGAACAAAATCCCAAAAAGTGGTTTAATATGTCTTTAGCCAAATTCCGTCGTTTGTTGGATTTTAGTTTAATTGATTTAAGTGGACTTGATTTTTTTGTTAGGAGCTATTTACCAAAAAAAATTTAAGTCTTGTATGGATAAATTTGTCTGTCTGGATAAATGGGTGGTGTTGTTTATTTTTTTTATCTGAACCAACAGTCGGAATAACGTAAATGAACGATTTACCCCCCCCCCCCTCCCCCCAATATTAATTATTTGAACATCAAAACAAAAAATCATGAAAAGGCTGAAGATGAGGTGTCTCATATGGGAAGGAGACGATGTTTTAAATAAAAGATACGAGTGTCATTTTTGTGGCTGAATGAGGACAACACATCATTTCTATCTGTGTNGGACAACACATCATTTCTATCTGTGTGATTAAGCCATGTTCTGTGCGAATAAGTCGTAAGTAAACAACCCAAATGAACTGTACGAATAAGTCAGATAAACCAATAAGCCTAATTAAGCCACAAATAAACAACATCTTAACGTCCCTTATATTTTTTTAATATCCCAAACTACCCTTCAAAAATTTAACATGTCGAATCGGTTAAAGTATACGTGACTTGTTTAAACCATTAAACAAATGCGTAGGACGTCTGAATAAAATATAATAAAAACTTTATGGGTCATAATAAATAATTAATAATGGTGAAAAAAATAAATAAATAATAAATGTATTTATTAAAAAACAAAATGAAATGGGAAAAACTAGAGCCGTAGTTGTTGCACAAATTGACGTGGTCTAGAAGGAAACTACATCTGCTTACATTTTATTTATTTATTTATTTATTATTTTTATAATTATTCTAAATGTTTATTATTTTAAAATTATTTAATAAATCCATAAAGTGGAGTTCTGACCAATTAAATTCTATCTCAACTTTCCAAATCTAATTTAAAAGGTTTTCTTACATATTTTAACATTCAACCCTCTTAGTTTAAAACAATACGAATTATACCCCCATATTGTTATCTTTTGTCGATTTTAACCTTCTTAGTTTACAACAATTCACATTTTACCTCTAAAGTTAACCGAACATTCTTAACAACTTGTTTATAAAACGAAAATTGTTTCAAACATTTTCCATATATTCCCCTTCCCTTCGTTATCCAAAGATTTGTCTATTTACAACTGTGATCCCAAAAGAAATAAAGTTTTACAAATTTAACCCCTTCACTTCTAAACTGTATCTACTATTACATTAATTTGGCTCGGCAGCCTATCTCCACCATGGCCCGCCTGATCGGGATCCCGAACAGACTCGAGACGAACCACCAAGTTTCCTCTTGTAGACGATAAGTGTTCCGTGAGTTTGTGAAAGCTTGGAACCAGTACAGTTTCAGCCCAATCCTCTAGACACGTTCTCCCGAACCAGATACCACTTAAAATGTTGTCGAGGGTTCCTTCGTCGACCTCGATCGAGACAGTCTCTTCGACTACGGTCAAAAACGTGTTTTTGATCGTTTTCTCGATTTCACGGCGGATGAGCCCGAACTGAACCGGCTTGAACACCACTGCTGCGTCACTTGGGCCCACAAGCTCGTGTGGGACCGACGTTTTTACCACAAAATGTGGATTCTCGTCTCCTTGCTCGGTCGTGAGATCGCTGGCGTCCGTTCGATCTTCCTCAGAATCCACCGCAAGGTTGAGATCGAGCGAGAGCCCACACCCTGCTTTCTTTTGTTGTTTCGTGGATATTTTTTCCTCCGGTAGCCAATCCGCTCGCCGTTTTGACCGTTTCTCGCAAATGGTCAGCTTGAGTCGCCACTCACCGGTTGCAGCCGAGTGCAACCGCTTCTCGTCAATCAGATGCTCGTCGACGTTATTTGTCGACCAGTTCCCAGTTAATACAAATATACTGCTCCCGAGGCTAATCTCACGTCCGTATGAATCCGTAAACCGGCCTCTCTCCATGGCTTGCTTTATGCTCGCTCGTACTAGCATATCGGCTTCATCGATATCGGAGAGCACGATTACCGAAAATGGGTTCCTCCGGACCGCCTCAACAATCCGATCCAGCACCATTTTACCACGAAAACCGAGATCTGTTTCGTCCTCATCGCGCCTCGACCCAAGGCAAACTGTGATCGGATTAGCCGCACATACATGCTCGGCAAGAACCGATGCCATCTTCTTCTTGCCCACCCGATCTGGACCAGCAAACAACAACCAGACACTACCCCTCGAACAAAATTGCGTTACGGTTGTAGCGATTGCAGAAGCCGCCTCCGGCTGCCACCATGCCGCTTTCATCAGACCCTTGACAAGTTTCTTGAACGAGTCCGCATCTGCTGAATTGACGAATTTTCCCTTCTGGAATTCCTCAATCTTGGATCGGGGTTCCGATGAGATGCACCCTAACAGGTCCTTAACCGGTGAATCCTCGACAACCTCCTTTGGTCCAAGAACCAGCTCGGTTCGAACAGGGCTTCGAGGAGCCTCCAAAACCCGTCGGTTGGCCGGTTTGTACGTCGGAACAACTGGTACAAATCCTGTAGTCATTCTTGCCAAACTCAAGCTTTGATTATGGTTTGGATGGATTCGTGTGCATATATCGCTCCATTTCTTCTGCAATTCTTGATCATTAACCTACGAAAACAAAAAACACAACCAAGATTTATAACCCGACCACCGAAGATCATAGAATCGTCAGAAAAACAAGATGATAAGAGACGGAATTTAGTACCGATGATCGACGATTCATTTTCGTTTCACTTTCCCCATTCTGGGCTTTCGCGTTCTGTAACCATTGAGGTAGACTGCTCTTGGACTCATCTAATTTCGCTAATTCTTGTTCATAATCATGATAACATTTCGGGCAGCACGTCGGATGTCTTTGATAGATTGTTGTTTGAAAGTTCTTGAACGAATTTAAAGAATCCACTGAACTCCCAAGAATCCCATTTGTACCAAACCTGCATACACCGATTTCAACGTATAAATTCATAATTTGATGACTACAAGATTACCCAATTTGAATTTCATATAAATTCATAACTTGACGTGAAATTGGAAAGATTTTCTTGAAATTTTACCTGCCCGAGAGAGGTGATCTTGATGAAATCGGAACAGCTTGTAAATCCCAGTCGTTTTCCATGGATGGATGATAAACTTGGCACCTCAAATAAGTCTCACAAGTGGCCGTGCCGATCAACCAAACTTTACTGTTCTCCGCCGTGAATTTGGCCAGTAATTTCGACATCTCCGCCACGGATTCACGGCCAATGTCGGAAACAGCCGCCGTGGGTGGTTGCTCAATCAGCCATTTCAAATCAGCTAAATCTATAATAATGCTTCTACGATCATCATCGGAGCCTCCAATTCTGGACTCGAGAAGTTCCTTAATCTTGGCCGGAATCTGTGATTTATCCGGTAAAGATTCAAATTCCTTTTCGATGGAAATCACCTCAGCGTTCTTGAACTCGAGATCACCCGTTTGAATCCTTCTCAAGATATCTTTCTTGATTGATTCAGGCTCGAATTCACCCACTAAAATTGGATTCCTTTTTCTGGATTTCGTCATGATTTCAATAACCCTTTTGGCATCGTCTGATTGATTTAAACTTAAATTCCCTTGTTGTAATCTCGGATTCAAATAAAGATTCATCGGAGATGATGAGGATACTGCTGTTTCGTCATTTCTCTGATGATTCCCTCCTTGTAATCTTGGGTTTAAATACAAATTCCGGTTGATGGGTATCGGAACTGGGGTCGTCGGCGACGGAGATGGTCGGAATCCGATGCCGAGACTAGACTGATTCAGATGACTCCCACCGGAAATATTATTATTATTTATAGACTGTTCGATTGTGGCTTTAACGGCAGGACTTGAAAAGCTGGCTTCACGCATGACTCGGCTCACACTCGGGTCATCGAGTATGGATATGATAAGCTGTTCGAGTTCAACCTTAACGGCCAACAACGGCTGCTGTTGTTGCTCCGGGCAACCACGTCGCTGATGGGCTTGCGCACGCTTCAACGCCGCCATGAGCGCGTTTGAAACCGGTGGTTCCGTGACGGCCGGCGAGGATGTAGCAGACGGAAGCCGTTCTAGCGCTACGCTGAAGCAGAGCTCGAGTGCCCGACACTGAAGTGGGTGTGAGGAATTAGGGTGAGACCGGATGCAAGCTTGCCGGAGAAACCCCGTCGGAGCGGCGAGAAGCGTCGCTGCAACATGGAGGGGAGTCGTCTGGTTGTGATTCCGACGACCGGCTTCCGCTATTGAGTGGTTCAAAACACTGGCAGCATCCGGCGTTAGCGTTTGCAGGATCGTACTCAACCCTGCCCTCATAATCACAGATTATCAAGGTCTGATCGAACTGGGTTTCGTCTGAAATCACAAATTAAACAAACCCCTGAACTTAAAAATCTGTTCGAAATGCAGGGCAATTGAAGGGTTTGATGAAATCGAACCGACCAAGAACCATATATGATGAAATTCTTGGAAATCTGAACAAAGTGACAGAAATTACAGTGTTGAAAAAGCAGTTTGAAAATTCAAATGAAAAGGAAAGATGAGACGAAGAACAACCCCACCCTCATGATTCTTTCAGAAGCAAATGGAGTAAAGATTGAAAATAAAAACAAAAGAGGCTTTTTGAACAGGTATTTCCATGGTTAAATCTCAGATTCTTTATAATTCTTGAGCAGAGATGATAGCAATGTTTGTTGGTTTGTTTGTTTGTATTGAATCCTAGAGAGAGAGAGAGGAGGAGGAGAAGAGAGAGAGAGAGAGAGAATTTATGGAGAATAGATGGGGAAGAGAGGAGTTTCAGTTACAAATATTTCTGGTCTTTTCTGCCTTTATATCTCACTTTGTTTTTTTATTCTTTTATTATATTAATAAATATTAATTCAGAAATAAATATTTACTATAAATTCTTCTCAATCAAAATTCATTGCATTTACACTTAAAATATTAAAAACATATTCTTTATGCTCTTCTTTAAAACTAGTTCGGTACCCATATAATATAGCGGGAGCCATGAATTTTTAAGATTTTGAAGTTTCATTGGTTTCATTATGAAGATTTAACGATGATATAAGTTACATTTTGTCATTACATATTAATACAATTAGAATATATAAGCGTTATGGTTTCAATTACAGTCTTATCGATGAAAAATATTGTATGACAATTTAAAATCCAATATATTTAAAATTCAACATGTTTAAACGACTCCACAAATGTGTTTGATTTACACTAAGAGATCGAGAGCGAGAGTTTTGGAGCAATTGAATGAGATGACTTTTAATTACTCATGGTGAATATCGGTTTTAATCTCACCTTGAGGGATGAGGAGAAGACATATAAGTATGACAGGGTGGTGAAGACTTGAGTGAAAAGTGCTAAAAATATCTTGGGAATATGAAAAGAAAAGGTAATAATGTGCCTTGATAACTTGTATTATATGTTATTTTAATTATAGATTAAAATATTTTAAAACTGAATGTATAAAGTAGTAGTAGTTAATGCATTATAAGTTATTTTTAAAACTTTTAAGACTTTGTGCATAAATGTATAATATTTTGTGCATTAAAAATTGTTTTTAAGATTTTTGATAAATCTGGTTTATAAGCTAGTATAGATAAATAATTAAAAAAAATTATATTTATTATTTAATATATATATATATATATATATATATATTTTTAAAAAAAATATATAAATAGTGAATAAAAATTAATATATGTCAAGATATCAAATTTTAAAGAATTATTTAAAATCGAAGTTTTTTATTTATTTTATTAATAATATAATGGTATGAAAAGGAAGATTATGGTATATGGGTATTATTAAAATAAAAAGTAATGATAAATAATTAAAGAGTTAAAAAAAGACAAATAATGAAGTTGGAAAGAGGGATAAAGGGTGCCTTTTAGGGGGATTCATTTTATATTTTATTTTTATTTTTATTTTTAATTTTGGTTAATTACTTTTTTTTTGCGTAAATGCGAGTAACGATTGACTGCCTTTTTAACTTTTAAACCACGCGCTTTTCCCTCTACAGTCAATGTCAACCCGCTTTCTATTTATTCTTCAAACCTTATTTATTATTTCATTTATATATATATATATATATATACATTTTTAAAATTAAATTATTATGCAATCCTTTACATTTATACAATTAATACAACTCAATCTCAATCATTCATTTAATTTGATAAATATATAATTTAATAAAAAATTTGATTGTTTCCTAATATAAAGTATTAATCATAATTAATAAACTCTAGTCATTTTTCATAAATATTCAAATCATAATAAATCAACTCTTATCATTTTCATAAATATCTCAATTGATTGGGTTGCAATGCTTGTACAAATAAACATGGTTGCATTTGAAATATACCCTATATTTTTAAGTTATTTTCTTTTGTTAACTTAATTTTTAGTGTTAACTATGTTAATCTAGTGGATTAATATGATTCATTGTTTATGTCAAGTTTCAATAAGGTATTGATTATGGGATGGAGGACATATAGATAAATTATACATACGAGTAAGTTACCGTTTGTATTAAGTAATGAGTGGTTACTATTTAAAAGTTGCTTAATTGTTGGGATTGTGACCAATTACTTAAATTACACAATGTATTATCATTAAATAAAATTAATCAAATTACACATATAAAGTCATTTCCCGTCTATTTATAAAAGTTATGAAACTATCTCTCTATCTTCTGTATACTTATGCGAGGAATTATCTGGTGTTTCACAGTTAAAACCGTAAATGTTGACCAAATGAAAGGCTAGGATCACTTCTTTACTTCTCAAATGAACCTTCCCCCTCCCCCCCCACTTATATATATATATATATATATATATATATATATATATATATATACTAGTGGTGTACCCGCGCGATGCAGCGCGGGTAAATCACAATTCGAAAACATTAGTTTGGCTTTGTATCATGAGTTTGTGTGATTATTTTACAAGTCAACTAATATACAAAGTTGAAGGTCGATTTTGTTTGTTAGCAAGATCGAATGAAAAGAAAATTGCACATATGTCGGGTTTCTGAAACCATCTACTCAGAACTCATTACAAAACTTGAAATTCTTGAATGAACAAAGAAATACAATCGTTCGTAAAATAATGTTCATCCGAATATTCGAATTGTTGTTTGTTTTTCGTGATGCACTTATCCGTAAATATTTCCTGCAAAAAACAGCGCAATGGTTTTAATAGAAACATATGGTACAAAATATATAATAATATAATTATGATTATACATTATTCATCACGTAAAACTTCTTGATAGACGACGTTTGAGGTGTAGACTTCGGCACGATTGAATTTTTTAACAGGCTTCACTATTATTGTTTGTTTTGTAACACTGTAAACAGTAGTTCAACAGATGTGTATGTATATGGTTTAATCATGGTTTAATCATGTGTGTATAAGATGAAATGCACTGATACAAGGTCACACAACCATAAATATATCAAGAAAATGATAAGAACAGCCATATGGAACAGTAGGGACATAACTTGTTTGTGGCCAAATGTGTGTGTGTGTGTGATCAGATCTCTGTGTGCATTACAGCAGGCACAGGGGTGTTGTATGCATATGTCATGTTTCTACTTAACAGTCCATTAAAATAGTTTGTTGTTTTATGCTAATATGACAAGGTTATGCTAATATGACAGCTTGTTGTTTCTAAATGACTGATTTATTTGTTTCGATTATTTAGGAATCCTGTCTACTTGTTTCATTTCGGGTAGTGAAGAGAATTGTAATGGGAGTTTTTTAGTTTACTGTTAACTGATAAACATAGGCTTAGATGGAAAATTTTGATCTTGTCCAAAACATAACCTTGTGTAACTGGATATGCAATTAATGCTCCAATATGAGTTTCTTTAGATCAATTTCTAGCAGTTGCATTCAGCAGCAGGGTGGTGTTATTAATCAATATATGACTGACATCCATAGAGGCTACAACACAAGTAGAGGAGGTGTTGTTGTTTGGCCTGGTCAAAAGTATTATCTTCATTCTGAAGGCAATATAAACTCTGTTTGTTAAACCTTATAATTCAAAATTCAATCGTGATCTTTCTTTAGATTTCAACATTAACATGTTGCATTTTTAGCCTTTGTTGCTAACGTAAATTTAAATATAGTGAATCACTTGAAAATGTTGGGATCAAAATACAAACTTTACCATGTTTTTGAAACGAAGGGAATAAGTATCAACCACTATAAGTTGTTGTGGTTTCATTCGACATTGTTGGTTTATCCAATGGAGCTTTGCTAATTTGAAGTTCTTATTAGGAGATTCTACTGGAAGTTTCAAATTCTACAGAACCTGCATCATGTGTTGTGGATTTGCGAGAATTGGCACTTGAATACGATGCAGATTTATGAGAAATCGGGACCTATGTTACGTTTGAGATCTTAATATAGATTCTTAATGGTGCTTTAAGACAAGTTTTTTTTGTAAGACCTACAAGAGCATTTGGTAGACAACCTCTAAGTTTTGTTACACCACTGTTCAATATGTATTCGTAGTGATTGTTGCAATTTCTTATCCTTGTAAGTGTGCTTCCTTTTTTATTATTTTCTTCAGTATTGATCTTATAAACAATAATATAAACATGGTTAGATGGTATTTTGATTGTTGGAATAAAGATTGAATCCAAAATACGGATTTTAGCCTATTTATTGGTGAATTTGACAGCACCGAATCTATCCGAGATGTTATTTTGAATGTGCGATAACTTTTTGAACGTAGCTCGGATTGCTACGATTCTGGACATTTTTGAAAGCTTATATGTAGCTCTAAACCTGTCCTTTAGACACTTTTTAGAAATAAGACTTCTAGGTTGGTTATATTTACGTCTAAAAATTGATAAAAAGTTGATTTTGAGCTGTGAATTATAGTAACTAAAATGAGTTTAAATTAAGTTTGGTTAAGTTATTGTTGTCGGATCTTTATGAAACTTTGGATACATATTACAGGTGTTAAATAAGATCATTTGGTCCTTCCAGAGTGATCGTTGGACGACGTTTAAACATATAGGAACGTAGAGCCTTATTTGGCTCGATTTTTGAATATCGAATCAAACCAAACTGCGTTTGCAAGCACCTACTGTGCAAATAAAGTTGTTTTGGGTGCAATCTTCACTTTGGTCCAGCTTTATTTAGGAGACATTATGCAGAAAAACAAAGAGAAAATAAAAGACCGTTATGCAGAAAATGATACCTGTGTCTATGAAAGCCGACTGCAACGCTCCAAGTAAAGACCGTTATGCAGAAAAACAAAGAGAAAACAAAAGAAGTAGA